AAAATAATGGTTCAATTTTCTTTAATAAAAATAATACCACTAATATCATATGTTTTTTGTCAGCTTTTGACCAATACATTTTTAAGAAATTTGTTCATTTCATCAAAATTGTGAACTGTGTCAGCACACAATTTTTGAAAAAAAATCCTCTTACTAACATTAATTTCTGAGGGCATGTGCATTTGATTTTTTAATTCTTGGTCCYAAATTCTTAATTAGAATTCCCCATCCCCTTTTTATATGAGTCCTATAAATTTGACAATTTAATTAATCTTTTTTAAGAGACAGATTTTGGATTTTTTGATAGATAGGTAGATCGATAGATTAGCATTTTCTGAAATGATTAGTAAAATTTTGCTTTAGTTTGTATGACATAGATTTGCTTTTCTTTTTTTTAATATTTCTTTATTTTTTAGTTATTGGCAGACACAACATCTTTGTTTGTATGTGGTGCTGAGGATGGAACCCGGGCCGCAGGCATGCCAGGCGACCGTGCTACCACTTGAGCCACATCCCCAGCCCCTAGATTTGCTTTTCTTTAATAACTCATCCAGACATTTTTCCTCCTCCTCATTCCCCGGCTCATTACCTGCCCTGCTTCTCCTTTTTTCATACTTCCTCCTTCTTTTTTTTTTTTTCTTAGATGTTTCAGGTTTAGCAGTTATTAAGCACCTGCAGCAGAGGGCTGGCCAAACAATGTGTGCAAGGCTTTCAGGATCCACACTCACATCACACCTCATAACTCTGCTGTGAGACAGGGGTTACTGTACAGTCCAGAAGCCAAGACCACCAGTAGGGGGATAGGATCAAGACCTGAATTCAGTTCTTTCTGACTCCAGATTCAATTCAACTTTATTGCATTATTTTAGAAAATATATACATATGAGTTTGTCCCAATCCACATGAACTCATTAAATAAGCTTGATATTTGTTTCTCACTTCTACCCTTACAATAATCTCTTTTTAGAAATTTGGAAGGATATAATTTTAAACATTAAAATCTGGGATTCAGCAAATGAGAATGCATATACTGTTAGTTCAGAGTCCCCTTTGGTCTGGCTTCTGGCCAGTAGTGAGACCTCCTGGTTCCTCCTCCCCTTTCCTCCTGCCTAGGTCAGAGCTGCCTTAGAGGTCAACTCTGACTTTCTASCACAGAAGAAAGGGGGCTCCTGGCAATGGAATAAGCAAAAGGAAACCCAAATGTGTTGGAGCCTTTCCAGTGGCTAGCAAACACTTCTTGGTTTCTCTGAAGAAATTCTTAGTCCTCTCTGGGACACACAGGGTGGGATCTGACCCAGGCAAACCAAGGGCTTTCTGTGGTCTGGGAGAAAAGCACCTGCATGGTYACCCACTTGAGGACTGGAAGGCTGACTGCATGGGACAGAGGACCCTTTCCTGACCACCTCATCTTAAAGTGCAGGAAAATGAAGTGAAAGGTGGGAAGTGAATTCTCAACATCTAGGGAATGACAAAGAAAGATCTAAGAAACCTAGAAAGGAAGATTTGAGTTCAAAAATCCCCACACATGTAAAAGACAACTGAAGTGAAGACACTGAAGTGACAGTTGTGTTTTGACACAGAACACAGGGTTCAAAATCTMTTCTATGCTCTTTTGGCAGTCACTTCCAGTGGGCAATCATGCCAAGCACTGTRCCTCAAAGAAAGGATCCAGTCAGGCCTTTTATATTTTATAATTGATATATTAAATATTGTATACTTTCTTCAAGCATTTATCTTTTGGATGCATTCTTAATATTAGTCAATTAAAAATATCACCATTATTGTTTTTCTTTAATCCATGTGTTTGCATGGAAACTACCTAGGAGGGGAGAATAGGAGCCCAGTGTTAATAAGGACTGACTGCATGAGGCAGGGACTTGTAAGACCCCAGAAGCTTTCTTTGTCTCCCCTCTACTCTGCCCTGTGTCACTGGTAGTCTGACACTGAGGGCTGAGTTTCCCAGTTTTCTACATAAGCTGGTTCCCAACAAGGACTGGAAGAATATTCACTGAAAAAATGGAGAAATCACTGGGCTTCTCCTTTTCCTGTGCAGGGCATCATCTCCTCCATGCCTGTGTCCACCACCCTGGCCCAGAGGGTAGGTAATGTCACACTCTCCCTCCCATCTAGGATGGTAGCAGATCCCCAGTGATGCTACTTTCTGGCTTGTGTTTTTCCTTCAGCTCTTCCTTCACCAGTGTAACCAATACTTGCCATTAAACTGCCTCTGCTTTAAATGCACTGCATGCTTTCATTTTTCTTTGTTAAATTCTACTGATATAGTGCCCCTTCATATTTTTTTAAATTCTCACAACCACAAGGTATAAAAAAAGAAGCAGGTAACAAATTTCCCCTTAAAAAGGGAAAAAAATGCAGTAAATTGTCCTAAAAGTGATTAAGGGTGATCCATTTACATTTATGAGAGGAAAGCATTGTTTCTCCTGCTTTCTTGTCAGAGCTTTTAATTTATACATGAGTATGATCTGTCAAACAACACCTTTGAAATAGTTTTTCTTTCAAGCTGCATCTACAAACTAAGGGTTTTAAAAATCCATAAGGTATATTTCATTACCTGTGTTCCCAACTGATTACACATGATTCTCTAATTTACACAACTGTGTCCCTAGCACAATTTTAAGGTTTTTTTTTTTTTTTTTTTGGAAATGGAAATTGAACCAAGGACCTTTTACATGCTAGGCAAGCACTCTACTAACTGAGCTATATCCCCAATCCCTTAGTACCATTTTAAATTTCTTGGTTAAACAGAAACAAGATAAAAATACTCAACATCATAAATATCATTGTGAATGTTGGTAATAGACTTCAATTTGTGAAAATATTGGCCTGTTAGATGGTGTCGTACATAATAGAAATGGACTCTCACTAACAAAAACTAGTGGCATTCAAATACATAATTAAGCTAAGATATATTAGAGGAACTTTCTACCTTTGGGTGAATAGGAATTAAGAATCCCTTGAGGCCAGCAGCTTTAGCCTTACAGAGGATGCCCTGGTTAAGTCAATAAGCAAAGGAGGATTCTGGAAGGCCGGTGTTGAATGGAAGGAGACAGCACCTCCACAATCTTGGCAAGGTTATGCTTGCAGAACTTCAAAGGTCAAGAAACAGAACATCCTTTAACCTACAGAACAGTTTAGATGAATTTTTTCTACTTACTTTTTACAAATGGTGAGTTAAAAGCCTGTATGTATTGTAGAATATGTTTAGCACTTTCTTTTATAATAACCTGGTACTGACTTTCAGTGTCAATGGACAAAATGGTAAATACTCAGCACTTTGAATTTATTAGTCATCTACCAAAAGGTCAGTTTCTGCAAATCCAATGTGATTCAGGACATTTCCTAAGAGGGCAATTAGTCCTGAACAAAATGAATGGATTATGTACATTTTACATATAGAATAAACATGAAAACTCAATAAGAAATTATATAAGATTGTAATAATAAGAATTATGGGCTGGGGATGTGGCTCAAGTGGTAACCTGCTTGCCTGGCAAGTGCAGAGCACTGGGTTCGATCCTCAGCACCACATAAAATAAAACAATAAAGATGTTGTGTCCATGGAAAACTAAAAGGACACCAGATTTTCACTCTTAAATATACAAAATTGAACAGAAAACTAAGTATGTTTACATAATTTGAGGAATAACAGAAAGGATTAAAGTGGATTCCAATAGCATTTACAATATATTTGCATATTTAGGAACTGCGAATGAGAATTAATTTCACAAAGTGATAATTTCTGTATTTCCACATCTGTGTGTTGCAAGAATTCTTATAAAGTGTCTTATCAAGAAGAATCATGATTTTCTGACTGTACATATGTTAACTGCATCTTCCTTCTTGCAGGATTGAATCTATGCAGCTGTATATAGTCCAGCCTGTGAATCCAGAACTCAGTGCAGGGCCCATCACTGGACTGACAGGCTCAACAGCTTCCGAGCAAAGCATAAGCCCATGGGCAGTATTCTCACAATCTATTATTTGTTGTTAGGATCACATGGGTGGTATTTCTCTTTTATTAAATATTTTACTTATTTTAGAAATAAATAATTTGGCTGCAAATTCTTGAATATGTGTCTGTAGTCAAATTTACAGTATAAAGAGTGAAAGATTAAAAAAACTACTTAAATATAATCCAGGCTCATATGTCCTGAGGTATATATATATAAAACAAGTGATATAAAAACAAGTGATATAAAATTGCAAATTTTAATAAACAGAGCTACACTCAGATTTAAGTTTCATTATTCAATTTCACATACAAATTTATGCAGTTGTTCAGTATGTTCATTATTGAAAAAAAATTTGGTCCTGGCATTTTAACTTGGGGCATTGCACATATTAGGCAAGCACCATACCACTTAGCCAGATACGCAGCCCCCAGTTTTGTTTTGAAAGAGAGTCTCACTAATTTGCCCAATCTGGCCTTGAACTTTTCATCTGCTTATCCCAGTCTTCTGGGATTTCAGGCTTAAGCCACCTTATCCTGCTAAATTTGAATTGTTAGGAGAAGCTTTGGCGGGGGGGGGGGAATAGTTGACTAGAAATTTATGTTGGTTTTAACATGGGTATATGTGATTAAATGACCTAAAATTTTGAATAGCTATAGGAAATCTAAGAGAAGAAATCAGCTTTATCACCAAGAAAGGAAAATACACATAAAATTGATTTTGGTTTGCTGAATATAAAAAGCAGTATGTTAAATCTCAGATATGCAGGGCAGTGCAGAGCATGCAGAAAACTTAGGGATAGTGAAAAGTTTTGCATAAATAAATTTTAAATTATTCTTTCTAAAATTACAAAATTTGAGGAATAACAGAAAGGATTAAAGTGGATTCCAACAGCATTTATAATATATTTGAATATTTAGTAACTGTGAATAAGAATTAATTTCACCAAGTGATAATTTCTAAAATGTATAAATGTATTTTTATCCAGTCATCTAGAAAAGGTTACAAGAGAGAAAAATCTTCACCTCTCATCCAAAAGATGACAGCATTTTTTTTGAAATAGGAATATTTTTCTGATACTTATTTTTGATGCCTCCAGAGAGTTCAGGCATCCTCTCTGTAGATATTTTGAAATAAAAATTAAATTAAAAGATATTAGTTTTATATTTGACTCAATATTTGATTTTTCACATTTTCAACAAATTTCTTTATCTATGGTAAGGAATTTGTTCTGTAGATTTACTATTCATGCCCATAATTGCCGCGTCCGGCCTCAGGAACCAAGTCCGGCGAGGGACGTCGAGGTTAAAAAAAAAAAAAAAAACACAGGACACCAAGGTTCTTCATCCAGGAGGAGGCATGTGTGCGCTTTATTGTCAAATTTGTTCCCCTTATATACTTTCTATAACTGCAGTGGAAATTTAGCCAAAACAGGGGAGGAATAACACCTGCTACTCTTGGGTTACCGTGACCATCCCTTATCAGGAAGCTCCAAGAAGGCCAAGATGTTCCCAAAAAGGCACATATGTCTGAGGCAGATAAACATGAAATTGCAAGCCTGCGTCATGACCCTGTGAGCTGGCCACTTTGACATGCAGAACAAGGAACTGGGGGCTGGGCCCCGAGGGCCAGGGAAGGCCTGCTACCAGCACATAATTTATTAGGTTTTACAACCAAAATCATTGTTGCTGTTACAATTTCACATTTCTCAGTAGTAACAGTTCTTCTCAGAAAAACTTTTTTTAGAACTTTAACTTCTTATTATTTACATACATGTCTGCAGTATTGTTCTTACAGTTGATATTACTCTGTCTTGAAAGAGCCAATTGCCACGTCTTCCTGTATGGAGAGTTGAGAAGCGTGAATGTTGGATTCGATCCACAAGGTGCCTCCTTGGTCACTCCAACATCAGAATGCTTTCTTGCCTGGGGTACTCAGACTTATGCCACTGGCAGATATTACTGGGAGGTGGAAGTGGGAGACTCTTGGAACTGGGCTTTGGGAGTCTGTAATGATTATTGGGAAAAGGACAGAAATTACAAGATGGATGAGGTGGAGGGGCTCTTCCTTCTTGGATGTGTTAAGGAGGATTCCCATTGCACTCTCTTTACCACCTCCCCACTTGTACTTCAATATGTACCAAGGCCCATTGGCCGAATAGGAGTATTCCTGGATTATGAAGGTAGAGTGGTGAGCTTCATTAATGTTGCTCAAAGTTCACTGATACACAGTATTCTTTCCTGTTCCTTTTCTCCCCATGTCAATCCTGTTTTCTGCTGTAGTCACATCTGACCAGACATAAGGACTATGCCCCAATGTATGAAAAATTAAATATCCAAGGAAGCCCTCTTCCTTGGATATTATCAAACATATCAAACAGGTTATATTTTATTAACTTTACACTCCTTCTAATGTTGTGAAAACCTGCTTACTCTGTTATTAATTATGGTGATAATATTAAAAGCTCATATATTCCTAAAATTAGTTTTTTAAAATTTATTCATTTGAGGAATATAATTGCCTATGGTACATGAAATAGAATATATTTTCTGGTTTTACTTTATTTGTGGACTGTCACAAATGAAAGAATAGATAAAGTATGACTTAATAAAGTTAAAATTCAACCTAACATGTCTCTTTCTCTACCCAAACAAGCATGACCATAAAGACTCAATGGTTATAAGAACATAATTTTCTCCCTTCTTTTTTTTACTAAATTTAATTTACTCATCTTGGTCCATTTTCTGTTGTTTTCACACAAAACCTGCATCTGAGTAAATTATAAAGAAAATATTCATTTACCTCACAGTTCTAGGTCATGGTGCCTCAGACAGGTAAGTTCTAAGTCATGGTGCCTCAGTTTCTGGTGAGTTTCATGATGAATCTGCTCATAGCAGAGAAGCAGAAGGAAAAATCATCCAGTGCAGAATGTGGGAGCACATGGATGGCATCCTTCATAACAACCCACTATCTTAAAAATAACTCTCCAAGGGCCAAAAAATTCACTCTTTCATTCATGTTCAGTCCCAGGAGAAAGGTACTGATCCTTTTTAATGACTTAAAGGCCCCATCCCAAAACTCCACTGCTCTATGAAATTACACTTTAATTTGGTTTTTATTCAGGACAAACCATGTTCAAAATATATTACTATATGTCCATCCTGTCCATTATTCTGAGTAATCATGCTTAATCATCTGTGTGATGATTTCCTTTCTAAAATTATAAACATACATATGAATATTTACAATCATTAATATTCTCCTCTGCATTGGCAATCACAGGACAATCAATCTAGTGCTGAATAAAATGGTTATACAGGTGGACAAAAAGAAACCTTAGCCGTACCTATACATAGTCTTTTACAGGTTGACTTAAGAGAAAATAGTAGTCTCATAGAAAAATTGCCTAGACAAGACATAAGAACAATAATCAATGGGGAAAAATTTAATGGGTCTGCATTAAAATTAATGACTTTTTGCTTAAAGATAATATTTCACAAGTGTAAACATACAAAACTGGAGTTGGAAAATTGCCATGCACTGTGCCTGTAATTTCACCTACTTGGAAGCCAAATAAGGTGGTTGGTTTGAGTTCAGGTATTCAAGGCAATAAAGCAAGATATTTTCTCAAAACAATAAAAGCTGGAACCAGGCATGCTGGTAGATGCCTATAATCCCAGCCACTTGCAAGGCTAAGGCAGTAGGGTCAGAGGTTTATCAAGGCTCTAAGCAACTTAGTGGGATACTTTCTCAAAAAATAGAAGTGACATGGTATGTTACTCAGTGATAAAGCATCCCTGGTTTCAATTCCCAGTGCCCTTCCCCCCAAAAAAGAATATATTTACCAAGTATGTATCAAAGATACAATATATATGCATCATAGATGCTATGTTCGTTGATCTGAATTGTCACTTTGGACTTAAGGATGCTTAAGATTAGGATGCTTCTGGGCATGTCAATGGGAGTGTTTCTAGAAATGATGGACATATGGGACAGCAAACTGAAGTACAGATTCAGTAAAGATCCAGTACAGATTCACTCTAAGTGTGGTTGAAGTCCTGGATGGAATAAAAGTTGGAAAAATGAGGCATCAGTGCCCTCTAGCTTGATTCYTCTTGAGGGGTTTTAGATTGCTGCTGCAATATCCTGAGAGGATCAGACTCGAGCTCCTTCACTCTTCCAAAGGGGACTCTGACCACTGACTATCAGGTTGTTTCCAGGCTTTTTATCCCACTGGGACTACATCATTAATCAATCTTGTCCTGAAGCTTCAGTATCTTAGACTAAGCAGCTACTGGTTTCTCCAGCTCTCCAGCCTGTAGACAGCCATTGTGGGATTATACAGCTTCTGGTTCTGTAAGCCAATCTAATAATCTCCTTTCAATAATCATATATTCCCTGTTGGTTCTGTTCCTCTAGAGAGCCCTACTAACACAGATGCATAAAGTTTGGTAAATAAAGAAAAGTGAACCTGGTAAAAAAAAAAATTAGATAAGTTTTCTTGAATGGTAACATCACAAAACAGAATACACATATGTAGTCAGTGAAATATGAAAAAATACTCACCTTTATGAGTCATTATATTATTGCAAATTCAAACCATAAATTGAATAACTAGACCTTGGCAAGAATAAATAAAAATTTAAAGATGAATAATATGTGTTGATAAAAATGTAGAATAAATAAAGTTTACACAAGGCTAGAGAAAGTATTAATTGAAAAAGTAAATTTTGGCTTACTTACTGAAAGCATTTTCTAAGGCTTAGGTATTCCAGTAGGGATAAACATATATTATCAGCAGTTTCTACATATACTTRTTAGGTAAAATTTATAGGCAATGTTGTTCCTTTCATCATTTCTCATAATACCCTAAAATTTGGAGTCAAAGACACTTACCAACAGTTGAATAGCTAAATTGTTGTACACTCATGCAAAGCAATTCTATGAAGCAATCAAAATGAACAAACTCTCATTGCAACAATGTGAATGAATCTCAAAAGCATAAGCTGAAAAAAATATTCAGTTTTTCCACGTATATATCTAAGGAATGATATATTAGATATTTACTAATAGAATACATTTTATATACTTTTACCACACACACATACACACACACACACACACACACCACATACACACAAACACAATACCAATGGCACCTTACTTAAATAAATTTCAGACTCTATGATGTAACATTAAAACTTAAAATTTTGGGGGGAGGTGCTGGGAATTAAACCCAGTGCCTTTTGCATGCAAGATACTCTAACAACTGAGGTGTATCCCAAACTCCAAACTTAAAATAGTAATTAACTTCATGAGAAAATAATTATACAGGTCAGTAATAACTGGGAATGAAATATAGGACAAGTTGCAATTGAGGGGGAGATATTTTGTTTCACCAGGAGGTAATTATCTCTCCTGTTTAATAAAACTTTAAGCCCAAAGAGCAAAATATATTATTGCCTTTGGGAAAGGAGAAATAAAGACATTTTAAAAGCAGAGAGAAATTTTAAAGTAGACACAAATATGAGATGAGTCTAGACCTACAGGTGGAGGTGGACATGATCTCAGATATAACCCCTCCCAAGACTCAGGCACATGCAATGTGCCTAAGATCATGGCTTCATCAGAAACACAAGGAATGCTCCTACATCCTTCATGTTGTCATTGCCCAATGAGACTAGCAAGTGATGAGTAACATGTAAATGAAGTTTGTCTGAGAGCCTGAAAAGACGTTGTATGAAGAACTAGAGTGTGGAGCAGATACTGAGACAAACTGGTGAGCCAGTCCAACACTTAAAACAAAGTAATGCTAGGTGAATATGCAGCCCATGCAGCACTGAAATAATGACATCAGTAATGAATCCCCAAACCAACTCAACTTCCCACCAGATTGATTCAGACACAACATACATAGGTAAAGTCTAGTATGAGAGAAAGCATGTCAATTTACATTCTACATATCACAGAATTGTTCCATTTTTATAAGGAAATTATAATATATAAAAATAAACAAGAAAAAAGTAAAAGAAACACCATTCAGACACGAAGCAATCAACAGCACTACATTGAGATGTGGCACAGGTGTTGATACTCTTTACAGTTAGATCAGTTGGCACACTTCTCCAAAAGGTTAGTAAGGTGTCCTTGTAAATTGTGACTTTGATATCTTTTGTTGTAACTTTTAAGGTTACTTACACAGAATGGAAAGGGAAAGGAAATAATTTTCTTTTTGAGTATGCGTGGTACTGGGAATTGAACTTAGTGATCCTCTATCATTGAGCTACATCTCCAGCCCTACTCATTTTTGAGTTTGAGACAGGACCTTGCTAAATTGCCCAGCCTATAAACAAACATGTGATCCTACTGCATCAGTCTCCTGAGTAGCTGAGATTACAGGAGTGTGCTACCATGCTGGCTACAAAAATGACATTTTATACAATGTTTTTTAAATAGATCAGATTTATTACTTTTCTACAGATCACTCATTTATTTCAGTTATTTCAAGTTTGGTAAAGTCTTCTATTTATTATTCTTTTTGATATTAAAAAGCAAATTTTAAAAGTTAAGACAGTGATATAAACTTTTAAAAATAAAAATAAAGGGGAAGAAACATAAAGATTGAAGTGTGTTCCAAATGTTCATGCTGTTGGCTGCATGCAAAAGGATTAACAGTGTCCCACCCTGGCTGTCTGTGCAGAAGGTCTGGGTCTTCAAATTGTAGCTTCCACTTTCTGCCTGTAACATGCCTCCACCATCATAAGAGAAAGAAGCAGTAAATAGCACAGAGGTTAAGTATCTTGACTTCACAGACTCTGTATTTGGCAGTTTTTTGTCTCTCCCCTGTTTTACTCCCAAACACTTCAACAGGAAGTGGTGAATGCTCTGCTGGTTCCCAGGTGAGACTCAAGTTCATGGATAACTTTTTAACAGCATTAACATTGTCTGAAACTAGCCCCCTCCAACCATTTTTTTTTTTAGATCATCTTGCTCAGTCTCTGTCTGGCCTTAAATTCTTTATCCTTCCAAGTAGTCTCAGCCTCCTGAGTAGCTGGTATTATTGACATGAACCCTTGTGCACAGCAGCTGTCTCAATTTTTTTGCCTGAGCTACATGTTATATAATTGCTTTATCCTAGGTGTCAGAAATCACTGTGACCACACTGCATCTTCCAGATATAAAGTATGGATGCCCAAGCCAGTGTCTGAGAGCTTGTATCTCTTTGATTTCTCTTTTAGGGAAAAAATTTAGCAAATATGAACATTTGAGGTTTCCAGAAATGAGGAGTTTTC